CTGACCTGTTTTGCTATGTCAGTTACTTTGGTTCTACTGCAGATATCCTCATTTTCATAATGCAGTCTATCAATCAGTGGAACTCCAAGCATAGCCCTCTCCAAAGCTTGCTGAGCAACCTTAAGCTTATTAAAAAGGCCAGCAGAGAACAAACATGTTTCAGATCTATACTGGCTACAGGCACTGGTTGTATACCTACTCTTGTTTTCAAGATTTGAAGTATATGTGACGAGAAGCATAGTAATCTCTCAAACGTTGCCTAGCCAAATTTAATATATCAAATTAGTTGCATTTGGACTTACTTATATAAAAAAAATCTAGGTAAACATACCCACTACTACTACTACTACAACTACTTTGAGCATAGTGGTCCCAACAACTACTTACTTGTCTCAGGAAAACGGCAAGCACGGTCTGTGACCTGACCCAAGCAGCCCCACATATGCATATAATAGAGTGATGGTGTAAGGACTACGACTCAAACCATCAAGTGTAATGTTTACATTCATTTACTATCATCTTTCAAGTCTTTTCGGCATAAAACTTCAGCTATCTTCTGATAAAATATTTAGGTCTAACCTTGGACAGCAAACTCAACTGGAACAAAGAGATAGACAACAAAATCAAAAAGGTTAGTATAACCTTTTCGCAATGCAGCTTCACCCAAAATCAAACTGTGGTAGTACAGAATCGTAATTCGACCCATGATCACATATGGTGCTCAAGTATGGTCGACTAAAACAAATGAAGTCACCACTATAAAGAAGCTTCAGGGAGTGTATTTCTTAGTGTGATACCACTACTATTCCACAATCCCATAGCATAATGGTAGAAGATCCCTAAAAGCTTGTGACGTCACATACTCCTTGCCCAGGCGACACTTCTTGTAATGTGTGCTGTGGACCATCGCCCGCGCGGCTGCAACGGTATGACGGCGCACCTTCCTTCAGTGGGCCTTCTCAACCTCTACCAAGGTTTTAGTCAAAGAAGCTTCAGCAATACCAGAGATCTGCCTATCACAGGTTGCGTAAGACCTACTCCAACAGCAGTCCTAGAGACAGAGGTTATACTGTAGCTAACCCTGCTTCACCTTCACATACAACAAGAAGCTATGTTAGCTGCTATCAGATTCAAAACCCTAAACCTATAGACAGTAGGGTCCCTCATGCAGGTATCATTGATAGATTTCTTATCCTACATGCCAAATACGACAAGATCCCTAAACAATTTCAGTATGTTATGAAGTACTAAATACAATTAAGCAAAACAAACCATCTAGATAGGAGGTAAACCTTAGAAGACTTACAATATTTATGAAAGGTTCTAAAATAAATCAAGGTACAGTATCTGGAACATTCTCAGAAGACCTTAAAATCCATATATGTGCACCATTGGGATATAATTTAGGTGGTGATAGCAATAGATTTCAGGTTTTCCATTTAAATACTAACCAATAACAAATTCTGAATAGCAATGTCTTAAACTTGGGGCTAATATATGACTGGCATCAACACATAAATGAGGTATGTAAATATAACAATGTGAAGTTACAATGGAGCAAGGAACACAATGGATCCAGGGGCAACAACACAGCAGATTAACTAGCCAAAGGAGGGGATCGGCTCTAGGTGCCACATGGCCAGAACTAATCATATGGATTCCTTTCAGGAATGTTTGCTCACTGGTATGTAAACACTATATTAATCAACATGTTCAACTTTGGAAAAATCTAGAAGACTGTAGACATGCTAAGCAAGCCCTAGCCATAATTAATGACTGTTTATTAAAGGTTTCAGGGAGACTAAATAAACCACAGATTAGGAAGACACCATGTGCTATTAAGGTTTCTTTTAACAAACATTTATTTGCCATAGGTGTTACAGTCCCCTGTGGAGAGCATGTATGAGAGAAGAAGATTTGCTTATAAGCTACTGGTATGTCTGAGGAGGTCTTAAAAGTTGGCTTAGGTGTCCATGGACTGCAGACTTACCATCAGTTGGACTGCAAGTTTGCTTATCACTTCAGTTTACAAAAAAATCGAAATAATTAATAGTAAAAGAATAATGTAACTGCGCAAGAACTTTTTTATTATTGTTTTCATTCAAATATGGCACCGAAAATTTGAAAAATAAGTCATACAAGTCTAGCGCAGAACGAAACGTGGAGGGGACGCGCACGAATTGAATTGTACGAATGCGACTGGAGAGCCAATCAGCGCATCCGAACGATACATACGAGCCAATCAGCGCGACTTATGCGCAATAAGCCAAACAGCGCGACTTATGCGCAATAACGGACACCGCTAGACTTTCGTGCCGCTACTTATAATACTGCTCTCGAAATTGATTACGAGATTCTGAAGTGTTTAAAAAATGAAATAAAGTTAAAGTTACAGCATATACACGTCTCACTGTTGGACACAGGCTTCCCCTCATTTCTGGGAGGGTTTTAGAAGAAGGAATGTCCAGTGTGCTGCCCCAATGCATGTTGACGAACTTCACATGTCTTCAAAAAAGTTCTGAAGTGTCTAATCAATTGTAAATATTGTATGTAATGCATGAAACATGTAATAGCTTTCATATTGGTTACAAGCATACATTACATTACATGATCAGTTTTTACTCAGAATTATAATATTTTTAAAATACAGCAGATTGTACTCTTCTGTTTTCTATACAATTTGCTAAAGGCTATGTTTGTGGTCTATGATTCTAAAACCTTTTTGAAACAGATTTATTTAGAAGGTTGAAAGCTACCAGTCACATGTGTGATAGTTTATAACTACTCCCAATTCAAATTCCAGGAATGCATATACCTTTAATTATTTGTGTGACTGGGGGTAATCTTCTTTTACGGCATCAAAATTTAAAAGAGAGTACAGGTTATTATCATATTAAAAAAAAAAGTTACAAAACAATCTGAAGAATTTTGCAAGAACTATTAGGTTATTCTACATATACAGCATGTATCAGGAAATATAATGGAAGGATTAGCATTTTTGGATGATCAACAATTTGTTCTGTATATCTCTGTAAAATACTTAATACTTATATTTATATATTATAGTGTTATATTATATTGTGATATACAATATATCCTCAATATGTAATAAAATAAAGAACAAATATTTAACAAATGTGCACTTAATATCTATTTATGTTATATTTAATTTTCATTTAATCTAAGTTTGATATATGAAAATTGTTTTACAGTCAGTTGCTGCCTTCAGACTACATACAGAATTTATTAAAATGACTTCTGTCCTAAAAATCCTCAAGTTGCACCTAAAGAAGATTTGCTTCAATAAGGGAAGGGAATCAAGGCAAGGTTCGTCAGGATCTTGCATTAAAATGAAACCCAATGTTTCATCACATACAAACAAACCCAATATTTTAAAATATATGATGCTTTCAATTTTAACTTATATTAATTACTTTATTTTTAATGTTTCAAGTGCCTTGCAGCACCCAAGGTCACAGGGGAAATGAATAAATAAAAACTTTTTATTATAAAATACCTATTAATTGAAATTGCAAATTTTTACTGTTGCTAGAATACAATGAAACACAAAATTTCTGACTAGATGGAGCAACAATCTGTAACATAGCTGTTTTGAACTGTATGTAGTAAAAATTTAATTCAATTTGAAGTCATGTTAAATATCCCTCTTGAACATTTTATGATTAATTTTTTTTTACTTTTTTAAATTTAAAACATTTAAAGACTTGTTTTTATTATACCCAGCAGTCTTTTTACCCAGTCAGTAAAGTATTTAGCAGTGATATACAGAACAAATGACCAGTAATGTGAATGTTTCCATTATTTTCCCTACGGTGAAAAAACTACTTTATTTTTTACTAAAACATATTTATATTTTTTAATAAATTAATAAAGAAGGACTATGTAAATAAAATATTATTTTCAGGTAATTATAAATTTAACTGGTACAGGCTGTCCTAACAAATATAATAACTAACTATTATAAGATTATAGGTATTAAAACTGATACATTTGAGATGACAAGCAGACAAAGCTGACAAAATTTTCCTATCTTTTTAACCAGTAAGTCTGTATCACACAATGTGTTAAATTTAATGAGAAGTTCTGCAAAGAATTGGGAAAGTGCAAAATCAAGGTCTATTTCAATTCAAAGTTAATATCACAAAAACTATAACAACATTTAAAACTGTTGTTAATTTTTCTATATAACTCATATACTACATAACATTGTCTATAGGTAGATAATATACAGAATATTCTTGTAATACACTTTCCCTTCATCATTCACAGAATGTAAGAAGTTGCATCTGCAATGCATAAAGAAAATTTTGTTAATAAAGAAGAACAAGCCAAAATAAATAAATGGGCATTAAACACATTGAAGACTTAGAATAATGAAATGAATTTATTTCATTTATTTATTAAACAAAAATATAGGGGTGTAAAATTGGAAATTAATAAAGTCTATTTTTTAATGCCAATAAAGTAGAAATATAAAAAAATAATGTATGCCCATATACTTATAATTTAACAAAAGTTATCAAGTTTTTTTTTTAGAACTTTATAAAAATACATTTTTACTTGGGTAAAAGCAAAGAACTATCCTTTCTGAAGTGACAAAGCATCTAATTACACAAGACTTGTTTCAAAACTAGGATCTAACGTTAAAACCCTACCAGACATTATTACATAAGCAAATTGGAAAAATTACTTATTTTTGTTGCATAAAAATAAGAACTTTACCCATCAATCAAATAAACTAAGTTCTATAAAAATAAAGACAAATTTCTACTTGTTGACGTGGCGTGACAGAAGGGAAAAATTAAGTTCTGCAGATATACGAATAGGGCTATTCTATTACGAATTTTATAAACATGGTAAACAATATTTTGCAAAAATATTTACAGATACACACATACGTTGCGATTACTTAAAATAAAAGTATGGCGCCTGACATTGTTGGCCTGTTTTGGTCGTAACAATATGGCGTATAAACTTACCCTATTATTCCTAATGAAATCTTCTATAGCTTTTAATGCTGAATCCGTTAGTTTCACAAACACTAGTTCCTTGTTTTCTTTATAACTAGACTCAGATGATAACCCATACTGAACACCTGCTGGCAAGGCCGCCATTTCTTATTCACTATTCGCACTGAGGACCAGCTGACTTCTTTGCTAGTCGTCACGAAACATATCATTCACTCATTTCTTAACGTAATCACAGATTCACAACCTATTTTAAATATAATTATGATAACAAAAAGGGTTTTAAAAGTCCAAATTAACAATTTTTTTTAACCCCATCGACTCGGCCTTTGTTGGCAGCGCTCTTCAGTCTGCAAGGCCGCACTGACTGTCATGCGCAATGGCGCTTTTGACAGGAAACGCGAGCATTCTCTTCAACTGTAGCGGCAATTTTAAAAGCCGTTTAATAAGTTTAGAATTGATACTTTCGCAGTTTTAATGTATAAATAAATTCAATTTTATAAAGCTATTTAAAATCATATGTAAAATATATAAATTTAAGTGTGTAGCATAATTTAAAATGTTATTAAAATGTACAAACAAGGCCTGTTAGTTGATGTAAATTGTAAAACTTTGTAAAGCGCGAAATACTAAGTGTTTAGTGGACCATGTCAACAAATTAATAATGAAATTATATAGTACCCGTATTGATAGCAGTAATCTTAAATAATTTAATGTTTATTAAGTTATATACTGTTGATACATTGAAGTGAAAGCACTTCAATATTAAATGTAGGTGCAATAGTTAATTATTTAAAAGTAAATAAATAAAATTGCATTCTTAAAAAAGAGATACATATCCACTTTATGTTTTATGTACAATGCAAAACATTAAAATCATGGAATTCATTTTAAAATTATAGTAAAATGAAAACAAAATTATAAAGTGGTAGATTAATAGGCAAAAGCTTTTCATCATACAGCCTTCTTAATATTTGTTGTAAAAATATGTCTAATATCAGCTTTATAATATTTTAAATAGTATATATACATGTTAGACAACTGCCATAAAGCAACACGAGCCACTGACGGAACGGAATGAGAGGAGTAGCTTAAGCGCTTATTACATTATACAATTTTTAGGAAATCTAATTAGGAAATTGGAAAGTGTAATCATAGTTAGAACAGTTAGGATCCGATTTAGTTAAAGTTGGAGGTCCCGACTGCTCTACTTTCTAAATTGTCTACAATTTAGGACAGTGTAATCGCAACGTTACGATTTAGTACGACCAGTCGGCGCCCGCGCTTCGACCTAAGTGGTTGTCTTGACTGCCCGTGCGACATTTTTTTGCGATGGCGAGTGAAGCGACAGAACTAAGCAGTGGTTCGTGTGGCAGCATGTCCACAGAAAAAGAGGTGTTATTACAAATTATAGACCTGTATAGGGTAAATGCCCTATTTGTATAATAAAAATGATGAAAACTATTTAAAAAAAGCAATGCGTAAAGAGGGCTTCAAGGTGTTGTTAAATATTTACAAATACAATGACAAGTATTCCTTAACCCAGCATATTCTCTTTTTTCTTTTTTTAATGTCCATTGTTCCCACCACGGCTAAGGCAAGTCCTATTTTCTGCTGTTTTGATAAATACGGCGCCATCGATCAAACGTGCAACCCCGTCGATACTTCTTTTACGAATGTGCTTCGTCACGATTTAGAATTCAATTTAGTGTAATGTGATCACTAGCTTCCAACTTAGGTTCCTAATTAGATTTTCTAAAAATTGGATAATGTAATAAGCGCTTTACAGTAACTAACCCTTAAATGCATATTGTTGCCAATTGTCTACATTTATTTTCACGTTATTTTATTCAAAAACCTCGAATCCCTGCGTTTCCGAACGCTCGTAAATAACCATAGGCAATAAATCATTATTGAAAGAAAAAAGTTGACATTACATTTGGCGGGTAAGTTACTCGTTTTTTGACATTTGAATGTGGTGGGTGATGAAGTTCAGTGTGTTACTAGAAGACATAGTTTCTACTGTCGAGTTTCTAATAAAAAAGAGATTCTTCTTATTCAAAAAAAAAATTACTTCTAATTTGTTATCAGGTAAGCTATCAATGTTTGATGTTGTATTTGAAAGTTATATTAGATACAAGACAGATTTTTGGAAATTACTGTATGTTGCCAAATGTCTACATTATGCGTTTGTTTCATAAATAGTTATAAGCGAGTGTTTTTGGTGTCTGGGTCTTTTAACATAGTTTGCTTTGATTTATAGGATGTCTAGACGGCTAAAAGATGACGATATTGAGGATTTACTTGCACGAATAGAAAATGGAGACATTTCTGAAGACGAAGAGGATATGGGTGATATGAACGAAATTGATTATCACCCGGACCTACAAGATCTAATAAGCGAATTAGAGGACAATAATGATGACGATGAAGAAGTCAATGAAAATCCACCTTCGAACATGGAAGAAGGATGGTTGGATCACTTCAATAGTCCAGCTCCAGGACCTTCGAATTGTCAACCACATTCAAGCCTTCTTGGTGTTGCAGCGTGGAGGCAACGAAATAGAGAACTTATATGGAAAAAGCGTAATTTGCAATACAGTGAAGAACGTATACGTTTCACAGGAAATACAGACCTTTCCTCTCCACTAGCCGCGCTTGAAACACCATTCCAATTTTTCTCCGAATTTATGAATGAGGATATACTCACTGTTATTGTGGAACAAACAAATTTATACACCACGCAAAAAAATGTATCCAACTGTCCTCCTGTAACTGCTACTGAAATCCGTCAATTTCTAGGTATCATCATATTTATGTCCGTGTACCATTACCCAAATGTTAGATCCTACTGGGGTAAATATGGCTTCGATCATATACGACAGACCATTACGGTAAATAGATTTGAGAAAATAAGATCTGTAATACATTTCAATGATAATGCACAGCACAAACCGATTGGAATCCCAAACCATGATCGTCTTCATAAAATAAGACCTGTTGTAGTACACTTGAACAAATTGTTCGTGAGTGTGGCACCATTTGACCAAAGGCTCTCTCTAGATGAGCAAATGTGTTCTACTAAGGTAGCTCATTTTATGAAGCAATATTTACCCAACAAACCCCATAAATGGGGTTTTAAGTTGTTTGTTTTGTGTTCACTCTCTGGATATGCTTATAGTTTTGAAATATATACTGGTAAACAAAATGTTGACAACTTATCTGATGAACCTGATATTGGCGTAGTCGGTAATACAGTGATTATATTGTGCCGTTCAATTCCATGAAAAATGAACCATGTCCTATATTTCGACAATTTCTATACATCCGTTCCTTTACTGTATTACCTATGGACTCAAGGAATATATGCATTGGGTACTATTCAACGTAACCGCCTCGGAACGAATTGCAAATTGCCAGGTGTAAAAGATTTTATGAAAGATTCTATAGTACGAGGAACATATGAGGAACAAGTAGCTGATTACGAAGGCCTTAATATCTCGGTAACATGCTGGAAAGATAATAAGGTTGTCACATTAGCGTCAACTTATGTAGGCTCCGAACCAGCCGAAACTGTGAATAGATACGACAAGAAACGAAAGAAACAAATTTCCATAGCTTGTCCAAAAATAGTCAAAGATTATAACGTCCATATGGGAGGAGTTGACCTCATGGATAGTTTTTTGGGTAGGTATAAAATCAGAATAAAAAGTCGCAAGTGGTATATTAGATTATTTTATAACATGGTTGGTATGGCAGTGATCAATTCTTGGATACTGTATAAGAAAAAATACCCAAATCTTACCTTAGGAGATTACAGATCTGAACTTGCAGAGACTTTATGCTCCTATAAAAATTACGATACAAATAAAAGAGGAAGACCCTCAAGCAATAATGTAGAAAGGGAGATCGAAGCTAAAAAACACCGAGGTCCCGGTAAACCTGTCCCGCCAAAAGATATCCGTACTGATGGTATAGGCCATGATGAAAAAAGGTGCAGTGCTAAAAATAGATGCAAACTTCCAGGTTGTTAAGGATTTTCACGGACTGAGTGCGTCAAATGCAAGGTTGCTTTATATCATAACAAAAATCGCAATTGCTTTGCTGTATTTCATTCATAAATAATAAGGAAATTCCTATACTAAGGAATAAAATTATAATATGACTATTTGCTTACGTCTACAGTAATTTTATCAATAAACGCATATTGTTGCCAAAAGTCTACATAGTATTTTTTCAAAATAAATATTCTATATTATTAGCTGGATTTTTTTATTATTTTTTACGTAACCTGTGACTAATTTCCTATCTTATACTATTTTTTTTAGTTCAAAACAAATAATCATACATTTAAGGGTTAAAAACATACATAATGCATAGAGAGAACCTACAATTCTACATAAATTGAGTAAATATACTTATCTCACTTTTTCTAATTTAATGTTCAAATAAGGCAAATAGAGACCAATCTATTGAAAGATGTTGCGTGTAATTCATGCGTGGAAATATAAATGTCAAGTGGTCATCTTTGGTCTTTTGATACTATGCCAAATATGAGAGTAAATATACTCGTATATTCTGATTTACTAGAAAAATGACATCCCTATTGTAGTATTATATATAATATAGTATTATATGTGACGTTACAAGACATGATGTCTTTAATCTATTGTGATTTCGTTCACAATGTTAGCAACAATCGATATCGATATACCTACTCGTTTTTGTTTCGTTATTTATTTTTATTATAACATATATTATTATTCGAATGATCAATTAAATTGTTTTCTAAATCAAGTGATGGTTATTATATTACATTGCAAATATTAGTTTCGCAAACTTTAAAAACTAACATTTAGGGAGGCATAAATAGTAAGTCTTAACAGACACACGGTACATAAGTGAGTTGAATCCCATTTGTAATCCCAATTTAATATGCTTACTAACGATCCGCCCCGGCTTCGCACGACTCTTTTCTAGATCTCGACTACAGCGCTACTTACCGGGTCCAATATTTCGAAATTATAATTTTAACATTTCGAATCAATAAGAGGAGATAGGCCACAATATCTTCCTGATAAGAACCCAATATAATAAAAAACTGTGATTGCCAACCCACTAGTTAAGAGAGGGTACTATGGTAAATA